GAGTCCAACTGTTCCTCCAGTACTGTCAAGACCACCACTAACCCATGTCCTCAAGTGCCACATCCACATGGCTGTTGAACCATCCCAGGGATGGGGTCTTCATTACCCTGGGCAGCTGTGCCAGGGCTGAACAGCCCTTTCCATGAAGGAATTTTCCCAATATCCAACAGAAACATCCCCTGGTGCAATTTGAGGCTGTTTCCCTTATATCCTTGGAGCAACCTGGTCTAGTCGAAGGTCTCTGCCCAGGGCAGGGTGGTAGAATAAGATGAATTTTAAGGTCCCCTAAAACCCAAACCATTCCATAATTCTATGATTTGATGATTCTATTGCATCCCAATGCCTGGTGGAGTAGGGACCTATTTGGGACCTATGTAGTAAGTTCCTAACCAGCTTTCATGAAATCACAGAATGGTTTGGGTTGGAAGGGACCTTAAGGATTATCCAGCCCTATGCCATGGGCAGGGACAGCTCCACTAGACCAGGCTGTCCAGCCTGGCTTGTAACACTTCCAGGGATGGAGCAGCCATAGCTTCTCTGGGAAACACGTGTTAGTCCCTACCATCCTCAGAGGGAAGGATTTCTTCCCAATATCCAATCTAAATCTCCCCTCTTTCAGTCTAAAATCTTTCCCCCACATCCTGGAGCCACCCTTGAAGTAGTTGTATACCATGGTGCCAGCCACCAGGTTGAGGAATGTCTCTCAGGCTCCATATGGGTCCCAACCCCTGCTCTAGCACAGCTGAACGCCTTCCTATTCTTCCCCACTGCTCCACAATACCATCCCAGTTTTATCCCAGTTGGGATGCGAGGGCTGTGGTGGTGGAGTGTCACTGCTGCCCCCCTGCCGCCCAGACCCATCCCCAGTTCCCGGCAGGGACAGGCTGCAATGCCTGCTACATGGAGGAGATGCACAACGTGGAGCTGGTGGAGGGCGACGAGGGGCGGATGTGCGTCAACACCGAGTGGGGGGCCTTTGGTGCCTCTGGGGAGCTGGACGAGTTCCTCCTGGAGTACGACCGCGTGGTGGACGAGACCTCACTTAACCCCGGTCAGCAACTGTAAGGAATAGGAGAGATCCAGTTCCCCCGGGCATCACTCCCATCCCCTGTGCCATGCTGGGCTCAGGTCCCCCAATACAGGCGTCCTTCGCCCTGGGCCTTGCCCATGCGTGGGAACACATCCAGCAAGGAGGGGGGGGAAGGAAAGATGGGATGTGGACCCTCAAATCCCAGCTCTGATGCCGCCCCTTTGCCTATGCCCCCCCCCAGGTACGAGAAGATCATTGGGGGGAAGTACATGGGGGAGATCGTGCGACTGGTGCTGCTGAAGCTGGTGGATGAGAACCTGCTCTTCAATGGGGAGGCCTCTGAGAAGCTCAAGACTCGTGGGACCTTTGAGACCCGCTTCATGTCCCAGATTGAGAGGTACGAGGCTGGGGGGTGGCACCCCCAAATCGGTCTGCCAGGCTGCATTGCACTGGTAGGTCTGTGCTCTCAGTCCACACTGGTCCAGGCATACTGAGGAGTCTGTGCTCTCGCTCTGCATTGGGTGTCCCACATGGGGATCTCCCTATTCCCTCATCTTATGCCAGTCTGCTTTGACTGCCTCTTTTTGGGGTCTTTTATCCTGTTACCTCACACCAGCCTACTCTGACTATCCATCTTGGAGTCTCTGCGTCCTGCCACCCAAACCATGGTGCCCCATGTCACGGGCCCATCACGATGAGACATCATGATCCCATCATTCCATTCCTGCCTGCTCAGTCCCATATTGGGGTCCCCATGTCCCATCACCCTACATTAGGGGGTCCCACTTCCAGGTTCCTCTGTCCCATCACCCCACACTAGCCCTCTACAGCAGTCCCATTTGGGGTCCTCCATCCCATCACCCCACACCAACCTGCTCTGACTGACCCAGTTGGGATTCCTCATTCTGTGACCCTATACAACTGTCCCATGTGAGGATCCCCCATCCCATCACTCTCCTATCCCAATCCAGCTGCCTCACCCAGGGTTCCCACCCTTCAGCCTTTGCTGCCCCCTTTTCTCCCCCCACCCCAGTGATTCTGATGACCGCAAGCAGATCTACAACATCTTGTCAGCCTTTGAGCTGCTGCCATCTCGGACGGACTGTGAGATTGTGCGCCGGGTGTGTGAGAGCGTGTCCACACGGGCTGCCCAGATGTGCTCAGCCGGGCTGGCCGGTGTCATCAACCGCATGCGGGAGAGCCGCAGCCAGGATACCCTCAAGATCACTGTTGGTGTTGACGGCTCTGTCTACAAGCTCCATCCCAGGTGGGATCCCCAGACCTGAATGACATCCCTACACTCTCCCTTCATCCCCCAAGCCTTGAGCCCATTTGTGACCCCGTGTTCCCACTCCCCAGCTTCAAGGACCATTTCCACGCCACGGTGCGGCAGCTGACGCCTGGCTGTGACATCACCTTCATCCAGTCAGAGGAAGGCAGCGGGCGCGGGGCCGCCCTCATCTCAGCCGTGGCCTGCAAGATGGCCTGCATGATGGGGCAGTGAGCTGGACTCAGAAGGGGGATGGCAGGGGCTAGTGGTCCTGCTCAGAGTGCTATGGGAACAGACACTGACGCAGGAAGGAGGCGGCTCTGGCCCCCCAATAAACGGGGTGTGTGTGGACTTCTCTGGGGCCGCTCGGGCCAGTGCTCCTCATGCCTCTCTCCCCGTGCTGGTAGAGAGACCCCCAAGGGGCTGCCCCACACGAATGGGGCGGCCAAGTAGCTTCCCATGCCCTCACCCCCCCATCCTCACACAGCTGCAGCAAGGGGGGCTCCAGTGAACCCAGCCTCTTTGCATGGGGAAAGCCCCCCCAAGGGGGTTGGCCTAGAGATAAGGGGCTCTTTGAGGGTACTTTAGGGGGAACATCAGGGTAGAGGAGCTCCCCACCGGTGATCCCTGGGATGCAGAGGCTGACCAGAGTGCACCAGAAATGGGCCAGATGGAGAGGGGCGTTCTGGGGGGATCCCCTCCAGCCATATCTCCACCCATGTTCCCTGGAAGGTCTGGGGCATCCCAGAGATTTGAGTTCTCCAGAGGGTCTGGAGCAGAGTATTGGGGTCCCTCTGGGGGGTCATGAGCAGCCCAGGGTGATCAGGTTCCTCTAAGGATCTGGCAGTACCAGAGCATATTGTGGTTCTCCGAAGGCTCTGGAAGTAACCCAGGGTTTTGGGCCACTCTGAGGGTCTGGAGCACCCCAGAGTGGAGAGGTCTTCCTAGGACACCACAGGGTGTTGGGATACCTTTGGGGGTTTGGGCCACTCCAGGGTCTAGGGCCCACTCAGGGTGTTGGGGTCAGCCCTGGGGGTGTGGGGCTACCCCATGGTATAGGCTGTCTTGGTGGTCCAGGGTTATATCTGTGATATTTGGGGCCGCTGCATGGGTCTGGGGTCACCCTGGGACATGGAGGTGCTCGGGATCTAGGGACATGTCATGGTGCTGGAGTAACTCTTGGGCATCCAGGACCACCTGGAGGGACTGGATCACCACAGGGTGTGGGGCCAACCCGGGGGGCTGAGTCTTGGTGTCCTCACAAAGCATAGGGTCACCCCATGGCTGGGGGATGCACACTGAGGGGCTGGGGACGTAGGGGGTGTCTGTGTCACCCCAAGGGACAAAGCACCCAGTGGTGCTGCTCCTGAAGCCCCTGAATCCATGGGGCTCCACAGCTCATTACAGGAGGGGACAGGGATCCCTCTGCTCTGCCTGGCTGCAGCCCTCAGCCAGCAGGATTCCCTTTATTTTGATTGGCTGCAGCCAGCAGCACCAGAGCTTCCTGTGCTGATTGGCCATGGCCAAAAGTGGATTCCTTTGTGCTCTGATTGGCCACAGCCCTTAGCCAGCAGGATTCCCTGTGTTCTGATTGAGCTCTGATTGGTGGCAGCCCACAGAGAGCTGCAGTCTCTCTGTTCCAATTGGCTGGGGGCAAACAGGAGAGATTCCCTGCACTCCAATTGGCTGGAATTAAAGGAAAAAAAAAAAAAAAGGGGGAAAAAAAGGGTGTGGGGTGTGGGATTCCCTGAGCTCTGATTGGCTGGGACTGAAGAAGGGATTCCCTGTCCTTCACTGGGACAGTGCCAGTGCCAGGTGTTGGGGACAGTGAGAATGATCCCAAACCCATGGCAGTGCAGATGACAAGTGACAGTGCCAAGTGCAAGGACAGATGCAGTGCCAGGCATGGAGACTTGCTGGTGCACAGTGAGGGGACAGTGACAGCTAGGACCACCCAGGTGTGTGGAGGGAAACACTCACTCCAACCCACATGGGACACATCCCCACACTACTGCTGGCACCTTTGGTGTCACCTTGGCCCTGCTGGGGGCAGGCCAGGGCCACACTGTCCCCTGCCAGTGCCTGGTGCCATCCGCCCTTGTCACCATGTCCCCCCAGGGCAGACAAACAAGACCCGTGGAGCCAGAGGAAGGACTTTATTGTGGGGGAGGGGGATGGATGGGCTTCAGGAGGGCTGGAGGGGCGTAGGGGTTTGTGGGGCAGTCGGGGCTGTGCCTGTGGAGAAAGCAAAGAGTGGGGGGTGAGTCAGGGGCCAGCGGAAGCAGCTTATTTAGCCTTTCCCCTGCTCCACAACATACTTTGGGGTGATTTGGCTCACCCCCACCCTATAGAGCTGCATCAAGGACAGTTCAGAAATCCCAAGCACACTCCCACCCCTCCAGCAGGTGTGGGGTGCAGGACATAGGGTTCAGGATCAGGATGTGGGGTGCAGGATGCAGGGTTAAGGACACAGTGCAGGACTGGGACATGGGATGCAGGACATTTGGTGCAAGATCAGGACAGGGGTCCAGGATGTGGGCTCAGGATCAGGTTGTAGGGTGCAGGAGAGTGCAGGACAGGGGGTGTGGGATTGCGATGTAGTGTGCAGGACATGGTGCAGGATGCGGCATGTAGGATCAGGATGTGGGATGCAGGACACAGGGTACAGGATCGGGACACAGGATACGGGGCACAGGACACAGGATGCAAGAGGCAGAGTGCAAGATCAGCCCATGAGATGTAGGATCAGGATACAGCTGGGCACTGACTGTACTCAGGATTGGCAGAAGCCCATGGCAGAGCAGATGTCCCGGGGCATATCTCCGTTCTGCAGCCCCTCGGTGATCTGGTCCTGGTACTTGTTCACGAGCTGCTGGCACACCTTGCCCATGACCCGGCCCAGCAGCCGGCAGCCCTTCTGCAGTGCTGCTGCCACTGCCGCCTGCCAAAGCCACCACAGGTCAGGGGGCCACAGGGAGAGGGCCCCCAGCCTGGCCCCCCAGACCCTCATCACCCCTCACCTCGTCAGGGTCGTCACCTGCCAGCTTCTTTAACCTCTTCAGGACCTTGGTGCACTGGCTGCACTTAATCCCCCTGCCCTGCGCCACGCTGTCCCCATCAGCCACGTTCCCCTGTGAAGACGTAAAGACCCTCAGGGCTGCCTGGACCCCTGTGTGGCCCTGGCAGTACTTGGGGGTGGGGTGCTCACCAGGGCCAGGCTGTCCCAGAGGTCCCGGCACTGCTGCTCCCAGCCACAGCGTGTGGCCATGGCCACGTCCCAGCACCAGGAGATTGGGTCACCCTGGCAGGGCAGGGGGGCCACAGCCTGTGCTGCTGCATGGAGACAGAATGGTGAGCGTGGCTGCAGGTTGGGTGCCCATCACTGAGGTCCCCAGGGGCCCTGGAGGTGCCCAGATCCCTAAACCACCAGCCTTAGGTATTCAGCCCCATCCTTACCACCCCTCCTGCCTGAACTCACATCCTTCTGTTCCCACCCTTCCTAGGTCCCCATGCAGACCCTATCCCCAAATGTCCCCAGGCGCCAGTCCCAACATGGGCACCCTGCCAATCATCCCTGGCTCCTCAGGCAGACTCCAACCCTGCCACCCCCCGGTGCTTGTTCTCATAGAACCCCATCCCTGCAACTCCCATGCCACCATACCTCCCGCCTGTTCCCTTGTCCTCCTTCCCACATCCCCGAGTCCCCACACAGACCCCATCCCTGTCACACACAGGTCCTCACACAGACCCAGCCCCCCCCGAGCTCAATCATCCAGACTGTTATCCCCATTGCCCCCATGTGTCTCCTCTCCCCTCCAGCTCAGGGTGACCATCCGCCCTGGGAGGCAGGAGGGTCCCCATTACCTCCCAGCAGCAGCAGCAGCAGCAGCAGGAAGTTAGCAGTCATGATGAGCCCACTGAGCCGGTGACAGCAGGTGACTGACAGTGAGTGACTGCGTCCTGACACCTTTTATAGAGGAGCCGCGGGCTGAGGGGGTGGGGGACCAAAACCCCAAAACTACTTAAAAAAGAACACGGCTGCTCCTCAGGACCCTTCCTGCCTCACAGCTCCACCCCCGCAGGATGAGGGTACGGGGGGGCCTCGGGGGGGACATGGCTCAGCAGCCCCCAACCTCCTCGGCCTCGTCCCCTCAGGGAAACTGCCCCTAAATGCCCCAGAGTGTGGGGCGGGGAGGGAGTGGCTGGACTCCCGAGGGCTACTGAGGGTCTATCCCGAGACCGAGAAGGTTCCGGGGTCCTCTTTGAACCGCTCCGGGCTCTGGGGAGTCCAAAGCCTTAGTGTCCCCCCGGAGGTCAGCGCCCGTGTCCTCTCTGGGGTCGGTGACGGTGTCCCCTTCCCACCATGGGTTCCGTGGGGCCCCGGGGTCGATCCTCACGTCTCGCTGTCCCGGCCCAAACCGCGGGGTCGGTCCCCGTCTCCTCCGTGCCCTCCCCATGCCTCCTTCATGTCCCCTCTGTGTTCCCCCGCGCGGGACTCCTGCACCACTCCCGACCCACAGCGGTTGCCATGCCGACTCTGGCGTCACTTCCGCCGCGCGATCACACAAGTTCCGGTTGGCAGTGTTCGCGCCTTTTCCCGCCGCAGCCCCACCCGGATGGCGGGGTCTGATGTCGGCGGTGCCCCTCGGCCTCCTACCGCCTCCCCTGTACGTCACCTGCGCGGGCCCCGGGCGGCGACCGAGGGGATATCCCCATTCCGGAGGGGGGGAGACCCCGGTTGAGGGGCCTGAGGGGGATCCTGTGAGGCCCTGCAGCCTGACGGGGGTTGGGGCGTTAGGGTTGGGGGTTTGAGGGGACGCTGTTGTGTCCTCGGGGGTGTTTGGGTGGTCTGGTGCCACGGGGAGGAGGAGTGTGCCAGAGGGGATGTGTTGGGGGGACACTAGTGCCTGGGATGTCCGGGGATCTATGAAGGGTCTGGGTCCATTTGGGAGAGGAGGTCATGGGGAAATCCGATGGCGAAGGTGTATTTTGTGGGGATTTCAGGGATCCTGCTCTGGAGAGGGTGGGATGGTGCAGTCACCAGGATGAGTTTGGAGATGCCTTGGGTTAAGATGAGAGGGGAGGAAGGGGGCCTGAGGTGTTGCAATGTGCAGAGGGAGGGTCAGACCCGGACGTGGTTTGTGTTTTGGGGGTGGGGAAGATCATTTTCAGGAGGACTGTTGTGTCTTGGGGTGACAGTGATGGCCGGCTGGAAGCCAGGATCCTTAATTCACTAAATTTATTTTCCAGACCCAGTGTTAGACCCCCACATCCCACCATGTTTTCAGAGCAGGCAGCCCCCATGGCGCAGGGGCTGCTGGCCCCCCCGTCGGCCGAGCCCCCCACCTTCCCCAGGGTGCCTGTGTCAGGATACTCGGACTGCTCGCAGCCCTTCCAGCTGGGTGAGCGTGGCTTCTCCCGGCAGTATGCTCACATCTACGCCGTGCGCCTTGCCGGGATGCGGCCGGGCCTGGAGCGGCGTGCACGGAGCTGCTGGGGTGAGCCATGGGGAACCCCCCCCATTACCAGGAAAAACACTGAGGGGCTGCAGTGTGTCTAGGGGTAGGGACAAAGCTGGGAGAGGGCTAGAGCATCAGGAATGGCTGGGGGGACTCAGCATGGAGAAAAGGAGGTTCACGGAGGACCTTCTGGCTCTGCACAACTTCCTGGCAGGAGGGTGCAGCCAGCAGGAGATCAGGCTCTGCTCCCAGGAAACAAGGGACGGGACAAGAGGACATGATCTCAAGTTGCACTCGGAGAGATTCAGATTGGATATTGGGAAAATTCTTTCATGGAAAGGGCTGTCCAGGCCTGACACAGACTGCCCAGGGCTGGAGTCCCCATCTCTGGGGGCAAATAACAGCTGTATAGATGTGGAACTTGGGAACATATGTTAGTGGTGGCCTTGGCAACAAACATCTGTGGAGCTGCCTTCAGATTTTATCTCTGTGCTTGACCAGATTTATATCTGGAGTCCAGAAGTGAGTGAATGTTCCGTCTTCAGGCTGGATGTACCCTGCAGGCATCCCTGGGGGCCAGATCCATCCCTGTTGGGAGTAGTCCATCCCTGCCTGGCTGGGATCCACCCACAACCTTCATGCAGCCTGAGCAGCTCCAGTGTACCCAGTTCTGCCAGTCTCCAACCTTGACAGGGGATGTGCAGCAGAGCCCAGACAAAACAGCTCAGCCCCCCCAGCTCTGGGATGCACAGTAATAATGGGATAATTTGCAGCTGGATTATTTCATAATCCTGCTGCAGCTCCTACCTGGAGTTCTGACCTTGGGACAAACTGCATTCCCCATCACAGATAGAAGGGGGGGTGCGGGCAGAGAGAGCACAGTTGTCTTTGTCATGTCACCCACACACTTCTGGGAGCAGGAATTGAGTGTGAGGTTTGTCAGGTTGAGGCTGGGCAGCCCTGGCCAGGAAGTGGGGTGCAGGGGGGTGAGAGGTGCTAGAGGGGGCTGCTTCCTGGCTGGGGGGTTGTGGTTCTGTGGGTGAGACCCTCGTGCTCAGAGTTTCCATCCACGGGATGAAGCAATACTGAGGCTCTGCCCCTCCCCCCGGCCTGGGCATGGCCTGCGATCGAATTTCCTTCAGCTTTGCCCTTCTATGGGCAAAAGCCCCTTCAGTGGAAGCTTTTGGTCTGGATGCCTGTTCTTGTGCTCTCCCCAGCCCCGTGGGCTGTGCGGAAGCAAAGCCAGTGCTGCTCTCATGGCAGATGTCATTCCTTGGTTGGCCACCCCAGACTTTGCCAAGTGTGACAGGACCCCATGGTTTGTAAAGCTCCACCTCCTGAAGTCCTGGGATGGGACCAGATTTTGGGGTTTGTCTCCCAGCAGGAAGCGCCTGCAGGCAAAAATCTGGAGAGCACAACCCCCTCCCCCTGAACATACATTTTGAGGAGTTTGAGCCAAAAATAAGAAATTTCAACAGGATTGTTTTTGTTCTGACTCAGAGCGTTTGCATTCCTGGGCTCGGGAATCCATGTTTCCAGCGTGAGGTGCCAGGGATGGCAGCAGGATGCTCTCCCTGGGACAAGAATCACGTTCAGCAGCGCGTGATGAGCAAAGTGAGATTTTTGGGAGGAGAAATGTTACCCAGAAAGGACGAGGAGCTGGCACAGGCAGTGTTGTTTCGGGAGAGGAGACTAGGAGCAGGTTCCGTGCTCTTCTCCAGCCCTGAGGCTCAGGATAGACTTCACAACGTAGTTTAAATGGGGAATGGCAGTCCCACAGCCACATAGTGGATGGGAGGACACACACTGGATGGGGGTGGAGCACCTCTGGGTCCGCGGGGGTGGGGTAAGAAGTTTTGGGCTCACTTTGTGGTGAGGGAGATTTTTGCTCCTCAGCCACAAAGTGGATGCAGCTGGGGCTGCGATGTTTCTTGCAGCTCCTGAGGTTCTCCCAGCCTGTATCCCCTGTGGATCCCTGCCTAAAGCCCAGGGATCTGTCAGCATGCCAGGATCTTCTCTGGATATGATGGGGATCCTGAATCCCAGCAGGGATCTGGGGTAGAGGATCTGGCCCTGGCAGAGATCAGGTTTGGGAGTGTTGAGTGATCTCCTGCCTGTCAGCTCTGAATAGGATATTTGGGTCATCCCCTGGATGAAGAGCAGGAACAGCAGCCCCCCATGCCCAAGGGCAGGAGTACTGCATCCTGGACCCTTTCCTGGGCAGAGCTGTAGCTGGAAGCTAAATACACCGTCATGACCCAGCTTTCCCCCCAGCACAGAGGAAATGCCTGCAGGCTTGCAGGCTCTGGAATGCTCCTCGGCCCCATCTGGCCCACACATGTCTGTTCGGCGCCTTGCCTCGAGGAAAAGCAGGAGGCTTCCCAACATTCCCCAGCGCTTTTTGCTGGCCTCGTTGCTGGGGCCCTTCAGCTGCCCCCGCTAGGCCTGCCCTGTGCCCACTGTCACCCCGAGGCCACTGACCCACGTCTCTCCACAGGGGATGGCATTGCGCTGCGGAAGCTCTCGGAGCTGCAGGCAGGAGAGAAGTGCTGCGTGGTGGGGACGCTGTTCAAGTCCATGCAGCTCCAGCCCTCCATCCTGCAGGAGATCAGTGAAGAGGTAATGGGGTTACCCCCTCCTCCTCCTCCTCTTCCACACAGCTCAGAGGGTTGTGCCAGCACACCTGAGAGCTCAGCTGGGTTTCCATGGCTTCTCTGTGCTCTTTGTAGCCAGGGAACTGTTTGAGATTTGAGCAGGATGGCCTGTGCCCAGCCTGTCCCTGGATGCCGCCTTGGTGCCACCTCTTGGTGTCATTGTGTGTGTGCTCCTTATGAAATCATGGAAACACAGAACAGGTTGAGTTGGAAGAGACCTTAAAGCCCATCCATGGCTGGGACAGCCACAGCTTCTCTGGACGACCTGTGCCAGGGCCTCACCACCCTCACAGGCTATTTCTTCCCAATATCCAATCTAAACCCACCCTTTGTGCATCTGTCCGTCCCCCCCCCCCCCCCCGCTGCTTTCCAGCACTCTTGCTCAGTGATGCTTTTGCAGTGCTCGGTGAAACCGGACCATCCAGGGGGTTCCAGCTGTCAGGGCCCCCAGCTGCGTGTTGGCTGTTCTGGTGATGGAGGCTGGGGTTGGGAAGGGTCCTTGGGGCTGCTGGTCCTTGCTGAGGCCATCTGAGCTGTCCCTGTGTTCTCGCAGCACAACCTGGTGCCTCAGCCACCCCTGCCCAAGTACATCCAACCCTCTGATGAGCTGATGCTGGAGGATGAGCTGCAGCGGATCAAGCTGGAAGGAGCCATTGATGTACAGAGGCTGGTGACAGGTAAGGGACAGTGGTGCTTCTGTGGTGGCACCCACCCTGCAGGGGCTGGCCAGGGCTGACCTGACCAGGCCTACTGTCCCGTAGGAACCATCTTGGCTGTGTATGGCTGCGAGCAGGACGACGGCAGATTCCTGGTGGAGGACCACTGCTTTGCTGACCTGCCGCCACCACTGCCCTGGAATGGGCCCAGCTCTGACCGGTGAGTCAGCAGCAGCAGGGCTGGGGCTGGCCCTGTGTCCCTGATGTGTCCCTGAGCCCCTTGTACCAAGAGGGCTGGCAGGGGGGTCTGGGCCCCCTGTCCCCACTCTCTGAAGCCCCTAAGTTTGGGAGGGTGACACACTGGCTGGTGACTCTCCATCCATACAGGTTTGTGCTGCTGGCCTCGGGACTGGGGCTGGGCAGTGTGAGTGGGGAGGCCCTGCTGAGCACTCAGCTGCTGGTGGATGTGGTGACGGGGCAGCTGGGTGCAGAGGGTGAACAGAGCTGTGCTGCCCACATCACCCGTGTCATTCTGGCTGGGAATCTGCTGAGCCAGAACACACAGAGCCGAGACACTATCAACAAGGTACAGCAAGGAGGGGGCTGCAGCCTCACCGTGCTCCTGGAGTGCTGGGAGGATGTGGGGAGGGGACAGAGGGGGTGCAGGGTTGTCCTTCACTGTCTTCCTGCTCACCCAGGCCAAGTACTTGACCAAGAAGACACAGGCTGCAAGTGTAGAGGCTGTGAAGATGCTAGATGAGATCCTGCTGCAGCTCTGTGTGAGTGCTCGAGGTTGGCAGGGGAATCAGGTTCCTTTGGGGGAGGGAGTGTTGTTCCTGAGGTGGGGTAGTAGTCTGGTGTGCAGGGTGGCAAAACCCCCTTCCCCAGCACCCAACTTCCCTTTGAGCACCCCACATGGGGAGGCAGATCACAGCCCAGCTCCAAATCCTTCTCCTGGGATCTCGCCTCCTTTGTGAAGCCAAGCAGCGTGTCCTGGGGAAAAGGAGCAGCAGTGACACCAGGGCTTTGCTCTGAGCCCCCTTGGAGGGCACTTTAGCCACCCGGTTGATCGTCGCTCTACCTACAGACCTCCGTGCCTGTGGACGTGATGCCTGGCGAGTTTGACCCCACCAACTACACGCTGCCACAGCAGCCCCTGCACCGCTGCATGCTGCCCCTGGCCAGTGCCTATGCCACTCTGCACCTCGTCACCAACCCCTACCAGGCCAGCCTGGATGGTGTCAGGTAAACAAACCTGGTGTGCTACCAGCTCTGGTGACTGTCAGTGGCATGGGACCATGTGACATGTCCTGGCACGTCCAGCATCTAAAGCACCCCTTCTTTCCCCCATAATGTAGGTTTTTGGGGACGTCAGGGCAAAACATCAGTGATATCTTCAAATACAGCAGCATGGACGACTACCTGGAGATCCTGGAGTGGACGCTACTGGCAGGACACATCAGCCCCACGGCCCCAGACACCCTAGGTATGGTGCGGGCTGGGGGATTGTTGAATGGGGGTTTTCCCAGGGGCTCCCCCCCTAATTCCCATCTTCCCCAGGCTGTTACCCATTCTACAAATCTGACCCGTTTATCCTCACCGAGTGCCCTCACGTCTACTTCTGTGGAAATGCACCCCATTTCCAGTCCAAGCTGCTCCAAGGTGAGTCTTGCAGCACACCCAAATCCTTGCAGGGGCTGGGAACCCACGCCACGGTCTGCCGGGGTCTCCTCTGCTTGACGCCCACCTGTGTTTGCAGGGAAGGAGGGGCAGCGGGTGCTGCTGGTGACGGTGCCAGACTTCAGTGCCACGCAGACCGCCTGCCTCGTCAACCTGCACGACCTCACCTGCCAGCCCATCACTTTCTCTGGCTTTGGGGCTGACAGCGAGGACGGGGATATGGAAGTTGGACACTGACCATAGGGAGGGCACAGACTCCACAAGTCCCCATTCCTCCAGGGGTCCAGGCACTCACTGCCTTTGTCTGTCCTCTGGGAGGGTGACAGAGCTGGGGAAGCACTGGAGGGACAAGATGTTCATACCAATATAACTTGATTTATTTGTGTAACAAAAACTGTATGGAGGGGAGAAAGGCTGTGCCTGCCTCCATGGGCCCTGCCCAGGAGAGCAGTACCACTCCTGCCACCCGACTGGAACACGGACAGTGGGCTGCCACCCTAGCTCTGAAGGATAGGGTAGCATGTCCCTGACAGCACCCAGCTGTTGGCGACAGTGCCTGCAGTCCTTAAAAGCCGCAAGGTGAGGGGCTGGAGCCCACCTGGAACAGCTGCCTGGGCTCAGGGAAGATGTTGAAAGTGGATGCTGAAGCGTCCGACCGTGGCTTGAAGCAGAACGAGGGGTGAAGTGTCCCTAGTCCCCAAAGTTCACAGTGTAGGTTTCAGCCGTGGTGAGGGGCTGCACTGTCCCCGTGTGCAACTCCCAGCCCTCCGTCTCTGTCACCAGCTCGGTGACCACCTCCGTCTCAGTGTCCATCTCCCAGGTGCCAGCGGTGGGTGGCTCCTGGCTCCAGGGTGTGTAGGCCGTGCTTCTGAAGGGGAAGGGGAGGGCCGTGGTGGACGGTGGAGCCGTGGGGCTGCTGGTGGCCATGGTGGCGTTGAGGCGCCGCAGCCGCATCTGCTCCCGCAGCCGCATGCGGTGCCGCAGGCGCAGCCGCAGGCGCAGGCGCTCGCGGGGCGTCATGGGCCGGCCAGGCACCACGCGGCGGATTGGCCGGTTCCCATTCATGGCCATGATCTCTCGGATGCGCTTCCAGTTGGAGCGGGACAGGATGAAGTTGCACTGGGTGGCCCCGATGTCATAGAGGACGTGGCAAGTCTTGACGCTGGGGTTGTAGCCCTCAGCCCGTGCTGACACACGGTACTCGCCCGGGTTCAGGATGCGCCAGTAGTCCCCGCCACTGGCTGCGGACAAGGGACAGCAGGGTGGGGTGAGGGCAGTGCAGTGCTCCCAGTACCCTGCCAGCACCTCACAGTACCTACCTGTCCTGATGTTGTGGTTGATGCCCCCCACCACAATGGTGGCATTGGCAATGGGCTCTCCCTGCTGGTCGGTCACCACACCCTTGATTCCTCGATGGATCTGGGTGAGGAAAAGGGATGAGTGGAACTCTGTGGGACAGGTGGAGCAGCTGTGGCCATGTCCCAGTACACACCTGCTCCATGAAGGTGAGCAGAGACTCCTTGTTGTTCTCCCACTCCTGCTGCAGCTCACTCTCATGGGGGAACTTGTCACAGCCCAGGTAAATGGAGAGCTCCAGGCAGTTGGTGTGCAGGTAGCTGAAGTCATTCATACCTGCAAGAGCATAGAAATGCCCACCCAGCTGCTTGCTCACTGACAGTGATTGGGTTATGGGGCAGCCATGCCACTGGCTCCAACTTACTGCCAGCCCGGGGGTGCCACTTGGCACCCTGCACGATGCCCATGGCGTCGGTTACGTCCTGTGCATGGCAGCCCCCACGGAAGGTCTCGGTCATGGTGAGGTGTGCTGAGGCATAGGAGATAGCGAGCCAGCGAAACACGGCATCGTCAGGTGTCTGCTGCAGCTCGGGGTGCTCATCCTCATAGTCCAGGGGACGAGGGGCGGCTGCTGGCATTGGGGGGCTGGGCCGGGCCGTGTCAAAGGGGAAGGACACCAGCTTCTCCCCACCCTGCAGGTTGGCTCCCAGTACGAAGGGGTTCTTGTCCATCCATGCCATGACAGCCCGTGTCTCCACTGCCACCTGTGAGGCAGGCACAGGTGTCACCCTCTGCCACCCTCTCCATGCCCCTGTGCCCTGTGCCACACTCACCGCCGCATCTTCGGACAGGTAGTGCTCTGGGATGGGGATGTGGTGCTTGGGGAACTGGTGGGGCACCAGCCGCCTCTCCTCGGCTGCCCACAGCGCTGAGGCTAGGTCTGGGAAGTTCTCAAAGAGGTCAAAGCCTTCCTCTGTCCAATGGCCCAGTGCCCAGTTGCCCAGTTCGGAGCCCTGCAGGCAGCCCAGGACACTGGTGAGTCCAGGGGGGCTGCATCCCACCACTCGTGTCCCATCCCATTGCTCCAGGTTCCACCCCCTTCTCTGACACATCTCAGGTGCCCAGCTTGGAGCCCTGCGGCCAGCCAGAGCAGTGGTGAGCTGTGAGGAGGGGCTGCATCCTATTGCTTTACCACCCCATCCCACTGCCCCACAGCTCACCCCAACACTCCACATCCTACCCCACTGCTCCACTGTCCTATCTCACTGCCTCATGGCCCATCCCACCCTGCCGCCCCCTCACCGCCTCATGGGCCAGCTCGTAGCCATCAGGGTTGAGAGATGGCACGAGGTGGATTCGGGTGTCGGTGACCAGGCTCCGCACGCGAGGATTCCCATCCTGGTACTCCTTGCACAGGAACTGCATCAGCAGCAGCAGCAGCTCCCGGCCCAGTGCCTCATTCCCGTGCAGCCCCGCTGTGTACCGGAACTCAGGCTCACCTGGAGGCGGGAAGGGTCAACAAACACCTGGGACCACGGCTGGGGACCCCCAGACCCTCATACCTCCCTCACCCGTCTCGTGCTCGCCCGGGTTGTCGGAGACCTCCATGGCGTAGATCTTCAGCCCCCGTGAGCTCTTGCCAATGTTGTAGATGCGGGTAATGGTAGGACACTCCTCATTCACCACCTTCATCAGCTGCAGGGTGGGGAGAGATGGGGGCAGTGCTTGGGGGGATGACCCCACACCCTGCACCACCACGGAAGTGCCCACAACTACAGAGAATGCCATGCCCCAAAGATGTGCCCATCACCACAGAAGCATCCACTCCTCATGGAGGATCCCACCCCACAGAGGATCCCACCACCATGAAGGATCCTACAACCATGAGTGTTCCAACCCCACAGAGGATGCCACTCAATGGATTTGTTGAGAGAATTCCATCCCCCAGAGAGGCCCCCACCCCCTGCTGGATCTGCCCACCCCCCAGCAGTGCTCACCTGCCTCATGTCCTTGTAGGAGTGGTGTCGGAAGTCCAGGTTGTCCGTGGAGGTCACCTCGTTCTGCTGGGTGTAGTAGCTGCTGACAGCTGTGGAGAGGACAGGGACACAGCAGTGGGGGATAGCTGCAGAGATCCCATCCCCATGGCCCCCAGACTGCTTCGGGGGGACTGTTACCAGAGAGGGGGCACCCCAGGACCTCAAGGCGCAGGCAGAGGCTCCCATTCCAGCGCTGGGGGTAGATGCGGATATACCGGGCCACCACTGGCTCAGGGAACTCACTCAGCACTGGTGTGTCCTTGTCCACATTGCCGTAAAACATCTGTCAAGGAGGGAAAGATGCACCCAAGAGGCTCCTCGTTGTTCCCATGTCACCCGCCCAGAACAGGTCCCCACCATCTCTTCATAGCCATTGCTGTACATCACCCAGTGCTGGCTGTCGTTGCTGAAGCCCACATAGAAGCTGGTGACAAAGTCATCACTGTGGGAGGACAGAGACAGGTTGGGACAGGGGTCCCCATGCTGCTCCCCTGCCCCACATCCCGGTCTGCACCCCCACATGCCCATACTGGATCTGGGAGTCACGGCCCTGGGTGATGACACCAGTGAACATGGTGATGCGACGAGTGTCCACCTCGAGCCAGTGTGCCCGGCTGTCATCCTCAGCACACCATGCCCCATCAAAGAAATCCTCCTCATTGGTGCCCGCCTGGGGAGCAGTGAGCGAGATGTGGGTGGGGGTGTCCCCATGGCCTGTGGGGTGGCTGCTGGGGGTGACCCTCACCTGCATGTTGAGGCGGCCACGCTGGGCACCCAGCCCGTGACGCAGCATGGAGGAGGCCAGGATCTGGTCATCCTCGATGCGATGGGACTCCAGCCCGATTGGGGGACACCCTGTGGACAACAAGGGGTAGGGTGTGATGGGCTTCCCCCCACCACGGTGTCCCTGTCACCCCAGGAATGGTGACACTCACTTTTCTTCTCTGCTGGAGGGGCCCCTTCCTCCTCATCTGGATCCCACTTCTTTCCTCCTGTTTTTTTGGGTTTTCCTGGGAAAGGAAAAGCCACAGTGAGGGGGGCAAGGACAGGGACAGGTGTGAGGGGACAGGAATGGGGGCTGGCACCCACCTTTGCGGTCCTGGCCCTTCTCCTCCACCCAGCGCTCCTCCTCCTCCTCCTCTTTCTTGGGCTTCACTGTTGGTGAGGTGATACCCACCCCAGGGACGTGACACTAGTCCCAGGAACATGCCACCCACCCCAAGAATGTGCCACTGATGCAAGGGGTGTGACACCCACCCTGGGAACATGCCACCTCCCTGGGGATGTGACACTCACCATGGAGACATGTCACTCACCCAGAGACATGCCACCTACTCCAGGGATGTGCCACCATCCCCGAAGTCATGATACCCATCCTGGTGATGTGACATCCACTCCAGGGAGGTGACACTCACCATGCAGATATGTCATCTACCCCAAGGACATGCCACTGACCATGTGACTTGTGACCCACCCTGGTGACGTGCCACCTGCTGTGGGGATTTGACACCCACCATGGGGATGGAACCCAGCCCAGGGATATGCCACCCTCCCTGCGGCTCTGCCATCAACCCTGGTGCACACATGCCCACCATGGGCACATGCCTGTCCCCCCGGGGCCCTGCCCGTCCTGTCCAGCCCCCTCCACCCCCTCTCACAGGGTCTGATTTTCTCCTCGTCTGTCTCCATCCTGTCCTCTTTGTCCAGGTGTTCGTGGGGCTTCGTTGGTGGGGGCAGCCCGTAAGTCCCTGGAGGGCACAAGGTGGGGGGCTAGGACAACCTTCTGGAGACAGGAGGGGCAGGGAGGATTGGGGGTGCTGGGGTGCTTCATCCTTCCCAGTTCATCACTCACAGTCATCATAGTCGGGTGGCTCGAAGCCCTCACCATAGTCCCCTTCAGTCACTGGGCCAGGCAAGGGGGGCTGCGGCAGGGGCTGTAGGGGGGGCTCCTCTGGCTCTGCTTGGGAGAGGGGGGGAAGGGGCCGTGCTGGAGATGGGGAGGCAATGAGGGGGTCCCCATGTCCCTGCAGGGTGCCTTCTGTCCCCTATGGGGTCAGCATAT